TTTAAGAATGTGTCAAACATATAATTTGATCAGGGCGTGTGAGTATCCACACTTGGGCTGGTGGTGGTGCATTCTTATGGCCGTGAATCACACAGCATTTGGGCCACATACCTCCACCTTGTAGGGAAGCTGCAATATTCTGTCCTGTTGGAAAGAAACCTGGACTAGCTCTTTAGAAGTTGATGGGGCTCTCAGCACACATCTATTTCAACATCCAGCCTGCTAGTTAGACCAGTAATGTTCATGATGTTGCTGAGAAACATGAGCTTCTAATCTAATAGACAATTTTATTTTTCTGTAATAACAAATACTCTAAAATGTAAAAAAATAAAGCATTGGTATGGCATTTACATTTCTGAACAGCTCTATGTGTTGTAAAATATTGCTTTTTTTCATGGGGGGATATACTGTCAGTTTATTAAAGCTGGTGCAGCTAAACAGATTGTACATGAGGAAAAGAGCATTCATTTTGCTGTACGAAGAAGTGTTTCTGCTCAGGATTATATTGTTGTTTAGAAGACATGTAAGATTAAAAGTCATCTTCCCCACAGGTAGTGTCCAGGCTCCCTGCATACCTCAGCCCGCAGTTGCAGATCTCCGGTGCAGCACGGGGGTAACCTCAGCAGTGAAGCGCATCACCCCGCGGGCGGGCGCGCAGCACCTCGGGCCGGGTCCTTCTGCTCCGCCCCGGCGCACCTGCGGAGCAGGAACAGAGGCTGTGTCACCGCGACATGGCAGAGTGCAGGCAACCGTTCCTGTGGCACAGGCCCTGCAGGACTTCTCCCATTTCCCATGTCTATAAAGGAATCACCTAATTAATAACATCTTTCTCCAATATTCACAGAGTAACAAAATAAAGATAATTTGTCCCATAGAGTTGTGTTTGGAGTTCTGCAGCACCCATGGAGCACAGGCTACACTTCTCCAATGTTAGGAGCAAGCTTGAGTGGAGAAGGGATGCTGAGGTACAGCAAGGCTTGTGCTAGAGTCCATCAACTGCTAATTGCAGCTGAACTGCAGCTGTGCAGCACATCTGGAGCGATGCAACCAATCCCAAATGCTTGCATGAATCTTTGCAGCAGTTTTCTACACAAATCATGTACTAATGAACAAATTATCCTGGTTAGCTACAGCAGTCTATGATGACTTGATCTGCATGTTCAGCTGCAGCATTAGTATGAGAACTATGTGCGGCTTTTGCAGGCAAAAGTGCATGCTCCAATTAGATTTAAAGGTTGATGCTTTATTATCTCTGCACTACTTTACCATCCCTTTAACTGGAATGTGCATGTTGCTGGCCTTCATTATAACCCTGAAAAACATGTTGAAGGTATAAGAAATAATTCACTATAACTATTGAATAAATGTTTTTAAGTAAGGATATTTAACCTTGAACAACATAATTCCCACAGATTTTAAAATTCTGGGAGCAGAACACATCTTCTCATTTGACAATAAATACTTGCAATTAAAACTATGTTAAAAACTTTACCAAATTTATTATAGGCAACACTTGCTTTCACAGTCTCCCAGAAAAAGGATATTTTTAACATCCCACTCTCTGTATGGGGACAGAGAAGGTGAATGTGAGGCCAAGCAGACACCAATTACAACCTCACAAAAACATGGAGGAACCAGCAGATAACCCAGGACTAGCACAGGAGTCAGGCCCACGGCTGCCAGGGAATGCTGCACCTCCAGGGTGAGCAGTCAGGCATGGATAAGGGCCTGGCAGGGAACACCAGTGGAAACAGAACTGATAAGTGGTTGAAATGCTGCTTCTACCTGGACTTTCATCCTTTGGCTCTAGGAAAAGAACTAACATGTGAATTTAAAGAAGGAACCATGTGACAGCAGTATCATCAGAATAGTATTGGTCTATCAAAGACTATTGAATTGAGATACAGAAACACAACATCATCAAAAGTAGCATAAACTCTTTATAAGCTCTATGTGATCAGCATCCAGGTGAGACACAAAATGGACTGAAAACAGGCATTGCTACTTTTAGCAGGAAAACAGGAACACTTGCTCAAAATTTAATTTTAATTTCCCTCATACTAAATTAGAAAAGGGATTCACTTCAGTGAAACATTTTACTGCAACAAGGGAAGACTTTGCACAGGGCCAAGGTTCCCCACAGAGGAACCTCAGAGGTAGGATTAGTTTATCTTCTTTTTAATGCTATTGAGAATGTCATATAGAGTGGGGGACACAGCTCTCTTCCTTATGTTTATAATGCAGAGGAAAACCCACATGAGTACTGGGAGTGAGATTTCTAAAACTTTTGCATCTAAAGGAACAAAAAAGTGGAAAATTGCAGTTCTAGAGTCTTGTTTGAGCCACAGAGAAGTCACTATTCACTAGTGAACAAAAAGAAGAAAAAATGCTCATTTCTTGTGATTTATCCCAGTGACAGGGTTAATGACACAGGTAGACATGCCCATTGACTCACTAAATTGAATTGCAAGACATAGCTACAAGTTAATTTCCTTTGGTATGTGCTTAGGCACCTTGTAATGACAGTATTTGTGTCACTGGAATTCAGTCTCGACCTAAAGCTGCACTGATCTTTCAGTTCAAATCTGTGGAGGCATTTTCATGCAACTCTTTCTCTTCGAGAGCTCTGTGACTGTAACAGCTCACATCTTTTGTAGGTCAGGCACCGCAACGGACGTGAAACGTGTACATGAGTTGGCTGCAGTGGTACAGTCACTGCAGGTGCTTTGCTACACAAATATATACATGCGTAGAATATTAATGACAACTTTCATTCAGAGGCAACATATGAATTATCAATGAATCCAGTTTCCATGTTTAGCAGGAAGTGTGTGGCAAGGGCTGATGGAACGTTTGGAATCATAATCTCAGCTGTAGTAGCTATTGCTGTGCGTGCCACCCCAGATGGCAAAAACTCCCCTGAAGAAGCCTGGCTCACACTGCAGCAGAGCTATGCAAGCTGCAAACATTACCTTCAGGAATATTCTGAGGGAAAAACTGAAGTGGAGATCAGAAGGAGCTGTGCAAGGAGCTGTGCCTGTCCCCACTGAGGCGCAGGGTCCGTGTTTGTTATTATTAAGGTACATGGCGGCAATCAAGGAAATTACCAAAAAAATGGGCTCTGAGACTCCTCACCGTTCAGCTATGCTGGCAGCTGGAACTTCTTTTCTACTCTAGTATCAAGCAACGATATTACAAGGAAGACCAACTGCAAAAGGAGAATAAAATACCAGTGTCCTAACAGTCTTTGGAAAATTCAGTAATCCCTGCAAACCAGATTTAATTTTTTGGGTAGATGCTAATTATCACTTGAATATGCATCTCAAAATACTTGAAATATTAGAATTTTGAGGTTGCCAAAACAATTTTGTCTGCTTTGCAAGTAGATGGAAGTAAAGCCAAGGTAATTTGGGCAACCATTTGAAATCCCTCCCCTAAATTTCAGTCCCATTTCTTATGTTGTCTATGAAATAACCCTGACAAGTGCCTGTGTGATGTTGGGGGTTTGCACAGCCCTGTCTGTCTACTGCTATATAAAACAAACAAGAGCAAGAGAGGGGCCAAGGCCCAGCACAAGCAAGGCTGACACCAGCACCCTCAGGTGCTCTGCGTACAAACACAGAGATCCATGAGGTAACTGTTACACAGGTAATCTCCACTGCTACTCACAGGAGTAACAAGACCATACAGCATTTGATTATGAAGTTTGCAGTGTCACTTCAAGTTTCTTTCAGTTTTTGCTATCTAGGTAATTTTCCACATGGAACTACCTCTTCCCTTGAATGAGCATTTCAGAGAGCTGTGTGGGCCCACTCTCACCGCATTGCTGCCATGCTGCCAGTGCTGGAGGTGGCTCTGGTCGCTGTCCCTGGCCTGCAGGGCTCTGGCATTGTGGGCCAGCAGCAGGTTCCCTGCCTGGGCCTCTGCCAGCGCAGCTGCAGCACTCACCACGCCGGGCTGTGCAGAGTTCCTGGGCAAGCACTGCTGCCCCTGACACCGGCCACTGTGGAGCACGGGGACTGCAAAACAACTACAAATAAACTCCTAGTGCGATACAACGCCTGACAGTGGGCCACTGCGGAGCACGGGGACTCTGAACTGCAAAGGGATGGGAGAACTGCTGCACAGAGCTGCCTGGCTGTGCTGGCCACACAGGAGCTGGGACAGGCAGTGCCAAGACTCTGCTGTGTCACCTCTTGTGAGCGTACGGGTTAAAGCAGCAGTGGTCTGTGCCTCAGTTTACCACGAGGAACTACCATTTTGACATACTAAATAAAGGACATTTTGAGATTTCACTAAGCGGGGTTTGTGGATAATGAGAACATTCAGTTCCCAGTGTTTCTCCACTGACCCTGTGAAGGGGCACTGGGAGCAGCACATGGAGCCCCCAGGGCTCCCGTCACACGGAGGTGATGGACACGAAAGGTCCGAACGTTTCTCTCAACTCTGGCAAATCCAGACCTGCGGGACAAGGTCACTCACTAGAACAGAACTGTCCTGGGAAGGCATTCCCGGGAAGGGACACTAGGAAAGCACTACAGTGCCCGGTGCCGCGGGAGGCCGGGGGCGATGCGCTGTACCCGCGGTGCCTCTTCTTCCCGGTGCTCGGGACAGCCAGCGAGCCCGGTGCCACTGCTGCTGCCCCGGCGTGCCTGACCCTTCGTAGCCTGTGCCCGGTGCTCTCGGTGTGTCCCGGAAAACCCCCGCTATTCCCGGTTCTCCTGGAAAACCCCCTTTATCCCCGCTATTCCCGGTTCTCCCGCTGTCCCGGAAAACCCCCGCTATTCCCGGTTCTCCCGGAAAACCCCCTTTATCCCCGCTATTCCCGGCTCCCCCGGTGTCCCCGGGCCGCCCCCTCAGCCGGGCGGCCGCGCAGTGCACGTCGGGAGGGGCGCGCGCGGCACGCCGGGACACGCACCCGGCGCCTCGGCCGCCCAAGATGGCGGCGAGCGGCCGTCCCCGCCCCCGGCCGCGCATGCGCAGCGCCGCGGCGGCCGCGCCGCTCCCGCCCTCCCTCCCGGCGGCCGCGGCGCCTCTGACAGCGCGGAGCGAGCGGAGCGTCCCCGAGCGCCGGGACCGCGCACCGGAGCCCCCGCACCGGGACCGCCACTCCGCACCGGCACCCTGACCCCGCACCGGGACGCCGCGCCGGTGAGTGGGACAGGCGGGTGGCGCCGGAGCCGCGCAGGTCAGCGAGGCGGCGGCGCCGGCGGGGCTCGGTGAGGCCGGGGCCCGCCGCTCCCCCCGGCCCGCGGGGTGTCCCGGCCCGCGGCACGAGCGGCCGCCGCTTTCCTCTCCGCTCCCCCCTCCTCTCCGCTCCCCGCCCTCGCCCGCTCCCCCCTCTCCTCGCTCTCAAAATGGCGGCCGCGCCCGTTGGTGAGGAGGGACCGGGCGGGGCGGGGGGCGGCGGGGGGGCCGACCCGGTGTCCTCCCCCGGCTCGGTGCGGGGGCTCTGCGGGCCGGGGCGCGGCTCCTGCGCTCCCCGCGGGCCCCGCTCCCGCCGTGACTCTGCAGGAAAGCAGGGCCCGGTGGGAGCGGTGGGGCGGGTGCAGAGCCGCCGCCGGGCCCGTGTCCCCCCCCCGCGGGCCGCGCCGCTCCGTCCGTGACTTAGCAAATACCGGGAGAAGGCGATGGGCCGGGGTAAAGAGCGATAAAATCGCCTTCAGGGACGATGGGCCTGCTGTGTGCGCGGAGGGCACCCCGAGCATCCCTCCCCGGTTCCTGCCGGGGGTTCCCCCTGTCACCCTCCCCGGGCAGGGCCGGCCGTCGGGCGATGGCCCAAACGGCCAGCGCGGCCGAGGCACCGAAAACAAGGCGAGAATTAATAATCCACCGAGAGGAGTAGGTGTTGTTTCAGAATTTGTCTCGCATCCCCAGTTTTCCTGCAGTGCTCAGCAGGGCAGCAGCGATAGGAGGTGGCTCAGACCTTCAGAACCAGCTGCAGTAAAACGGGGGAGGGAGGTCTAATCTCTCCTTCTGAGGGTCATATCACTGCCTGGATGCCTGCAGGTGCACAGGCTTCCCGTGATAAACCTTAAAATATTGCTTTAATCCTGTATTAATTACTGCTCGCGAGGTTTTGTTTCAGCAGGAGGTTATAGGCAGGCAGGGCTTTTGATGGAAGTTGGGGGGTGGGAGTGGTGCCTCCTTTGAAAAGTTTGGGGTTTGTTCAGTTCTGTGGGCGTGAGTTTTTTTTTTTTTAATTTTATTTTTTTGTTTAAGGTGGATGCAATTAAACTTGACCTTTAATACCAATAATAATGTGACACCTTCCCTTTCTTTGCCATGATATCACTCAAACCATTTCAATAGTGCTGCAGCAGTGGGCTTGGTTGGTGTAGGTCAAGTCCTTTCATAATGAATTGCCTACTAGGAATGCGGGAAGGTTAATCTAAGCTATATTAAAAATCTTTAATAAACACCGTTTTAATATAATTAAATGTTTGGGCATATTGACCTGCCTAAATTATGTATTTTTGTGGTGATTCTCTGAAGTATATGTTCCTATGACAGTATTGTTCATGGCATTAGGAGGTGTTGGTTAAAGAACCTCCGTTCAGTGATGATCATTTTGTAAATGATTGTGCAGCATTTGCTGGTTTTCGGGAGAGGGAGGGTCTGCTGTCAGATTGTTATTTGCCCTTAGAGTAATTTTGTTAAATAGGAAAATTATGTTGGGGAACTAAACAAAGAAAATATTTTAAAACTGTGAGATGCATTGCAAATATCCGGCTTGTTCTCGGGCATCTCGTTTTTGTGTGTTTCTGTTGCTGTTCCCATGTTTGTGGATGCTGTGAGCAGCCATTGAACAGGGAAGAGACTGGGTGGAGTAAGGAGGCAAAGCTGCGAAATGGCTCGATTACCCTTTCAGAGCTTTTTTTTCCTCCCTTTGCCGAGGAATACTAATTGCCGTAACAATGAAGTCTCTTCTTTAGGGAAGAATCTAATGGTGCAGGAAGCTTCGGAAATGAAACAAATCTCACATTCTGTTCTGAGACCGATTTTTCTGCAGGGTGGATTTTGATTTGTCTGGCAGTGAGAAGTGACCAGTCACTGTTGCAAAGCCGGATTTTTTTTGTCTGATAACCGCTTCAATTTATCCACTCAGATATGCACTTGTTGAATTGATTTTATTTACATTTTAGATAAGAATTGCAATTTTTCTGCCAGTGTTGTACACACAAGATTTTCTGGAATCTAGAGAAGCCTCTGTATTGTGGCTTCATGCTGTTATTTGTTCATGGAACTTCTTGGTTAGAGCGGATTATGGGTGGGCACACAGAAAAAGACAATCCCTGGTTTCTCTGGTGACCACAGTAGAGTGACTGCTGTCAGTGTACAGACTGGATTGCATTGCCCTTCGTCATGTGCCAAGCTCTTGTAAAATTACGTCTCAGGATTTTGGAAGTCCTTTTGAGCACTGTAGCTCTGTAAGAGCATTGCTGTCCCCCTTGGGCACTACTGCTTAAAGTTGTGTAGGAAAAGCATTTGAACAAAGGATTTGGGGAATACAGTAGGGATTGGAGGAAGCATCTAGGAAGGGCTGCCTATGGAAGTGCTCTCCTATTCCACATGTGCCTCGTGGCATTCCCATCTGATTTTAGTGCTGATTGGAGCAAGGTCTGAAGCAGGCTTTACTTTTTCATGGGGGTCTCAGTTCTGGAGTGCAGTTTGTGAGAGGAGATGGGCCCACAAGAAAGAGACTGTGCTTCTCTTAGTATGCCCAAAATTAAATTAAGGGGCAGTGGTTTCTGCATTATTTCTAGTTCATTCACTTGGAGTAGATGTTCCAGGATTCAGTGGCTGCATGAGCCAAATACCTGAGTCTAATGTGTATCCAGGCTAAGGCCAATGAAGAACCCAGCAAAACTCTTTCTATCTTAACAGCTTTATTTGATTTTTGTCCTTGAAATGATGGCAGTCACTTTTTCTACAGGAGTAACTTGTTCATTTGGGTTCTACAGAAGCAAAAGGCATCAACAGTTCCTTTCTGGCTGCACACAGGCTCTGTCTTGCCCGTCCTGCTGAGTCCTGTGCCTTTTCTGGCTCCTGTGCTCCTCCCAGCCAGGGAGCTCAGGTTGTGTCTTTGCTCTCAACTTGCCATGGATGGGACAGCTTCAGAATCAACATCTGCTGACTGCCTTGTCCAGCACTGCAACCTTGTCTTCCATGAGGAACTCCATAGCCCATGCCCATCATTAATTATAATGTATTTATACTTCTTGTGAGGTATTCTGGGCAAACAATAGCTGGGCCCCTCTGCCTCAGGGTAGCTCAGGTATAAACTACATATGTTTGTAAGTTTTTTTACAACCCTCTGTAGCTGCCCTGTATTCCTGAACTAGAGGGGTTGGAATTAGCTAGTATGAAGGAGAACAACATTGGAATAGTTCAGTTTAGGGCAGCTCTCTTCTGCTTTGGTCAACTTCAGGCCCATTTTCTAAAATAAAGGCAAAGACTGGGAGAGCAGCTGAAGCATCCGTGAAATGGGCACTGAAATACTTGTCAGGCTGAAAATAAGAACTGTGTGGGCCTAATTTAAGGAAATCAAGACAACAATGGAAATCTGTAATTATTAATAGATAATAATTTCAGATTTCCTATAGGGTGTGGGGGAGTTTCCAGCCTCTAACATGTAATTTGTGATGGCAGCTGAAGATCTTTCCCAAGGATCAGAGCCATGTGTGTTGATAAAATGGTGATGGGACTCTCCTGCGAGGTTTGTTACAGAGAAGTTGTTATGTGCTGTCCATACTTGCAGATCTGTCAGTGACGTTACAACTGGCTCCTCTTTCTCCCTTTTATAAGAGCTTATGTATCATTGGCAGGACAACCTGACTACTAAAAATGTATTGCACTGGTGAAGCCTTGCCTGGTTCAGGGGCTTTCTCAGGAGCTACTTTATTATGTGACACAAGGGAATGGGGCTCCTCATGTGGCTTTTGAGGGTTTTATTAATGGGTGATGTTGCTTTATCTTTTGATCTCCCTGACAGAGTAGGCTACACTTTGAGTTTTTAGTAGACATTTACACTAAGATACAATCCTGACCTGTTTAAAATCAGTTTTGAAGTACATAAAGCTGTTTCCTCAGAATTCTTTCTCTGAATGCTGTCTGTGCTAGGGGAGTGTGAATGGCTGTGCTCTGTGGGCAGGATGGTGCCACCACTGGGGTGCAGAGGTGTGGTGAGAGCTGTAGCTCTGTCACATCAGCTTAATGGTGGGGTCCTGAGCCTAGGTTGGGTTAAATGTCTGGTTTTCACGTATTACAATTATTTTAGAACAAAACTTCTCTTCATTCCTACTGTGTTCTAAGACCTGCCGATGAACAGTACATATTAAAAGCCTTGGCAAGAACCAGGATTTTGTCTGATGAGGAACAGAATTCCAGTTTTACCCTGGAGATGCCAGCTGCTGTGGGTTAGCCCAACAGATGTGTATTGCTAACCTGTATCTTATATCAGTTGTTTAAAAAAGGGCCTTTTCCTCTCAGTTGAGGCAGGACGTGAATGAGGCAATGTTTGTCTCATAATGTTTAAAAGCTTATTCTGTTTTCTTTTTTTTTAACTTCCTGCTCTCTCCTTAAGGGATTAGATAGGTGTGACTTAGGCTCTTTTGCTTTTAGTACACTGTCTTGGAATCCACCTATCATTTCACTTCCTGCTAGCATCCACTGTCAGGAAATTTCAGAGAAAAAGCTTATGTATGGAGTAAGTATATGCTGAACTCCATTTCCTTGGGACTATAAACATACAGTCCTTTCAAAACTAATGTTGTGTACAGCATTGTCACCAATACCAAGAGCACTGATGCATGTATAACTATGTAAAAAAATCAGCATTATTAATTCAAAGCACTTGCTAGTTAATACATTTGGAATTATTTTTGCCATTTCCTTAATGGTACTGCTTCTGAGTAAGCTTTCCAGTTTGGCTTGGCTGCTTGTGGACTTTGGATAAGGACTGTGATTAAGTGAACGTAATAAATACATTGTTGTGGTTGTGATTTTGTTGATTCTGGAAGACTTAGCTGATATTTTTTACTAGTATCTACTTCCTGCAGCCTTAAGAAGGTGTTTCCAGAGATGGGACCATCCATGGTTGAGGTTTGTAGGTGGTTCAGCAGCAGTGTCTGTCCTGTAATTTCCTTGGA